GTGCTAATTAGCTGACACATTACATTTACCCGCACTGAGCAAGTGTACAGCAGATAAGAGGGGAAGGAAGGAAGGAAGTGAAGTACTTCATTTTCTTCTTATTTCAATGTCTTTTTTTGTAAGGTTCTGAGTATTTGTAGAATCTCTAGAATCTAACTCAACATAACGTGGAAAACACTTGTTTCACAGAGAGGATACTGCTTTTATGCTTTGGTGATTCGCAAATATCGCTCTTCAAAATACCATCGTAAAAATCATTACTTCAGATCTGTGTACAGCGAAAGAGAAACGGGCGAATCAACGTTATCACGAGTTTGATCCTCGAACGATATCATAGCGAAAAAATAATTTATTCTATGAATATCGGTGACTGAATTCTGACGATTTTTGGATGAGTGATTAATGATGACTTTTCATCCTGCCAGTGATTATCAGTGATTGCTGATGCTTAAATTTGTGTAAAACAGTATCCAAATTATTTACTTTTTGATTAAGTTATTTTTATAAAATAATAGCATACTTACGAAAATTGCAGGCATAGCAGTGTGAAAATCCATCTTATTTCCATAGGCGGATCCAGGGCGGTTTCCGTGGAGGAGGGGGAGGGAAGGCGGACGATTTTCTTTTCCCCCCGTTCGTCACTAGGCCCGAAGTTAGGCCCCCTCCCGGCCGCCTGACTACCCCCTCGTTTGTCCTGCTACTCCCTTCCCCTCCCGCTCTTCGCTCTTAACGACAACGACCGGGGAGATGAAAGAAAAACAAAATGGGGCTCCTGGGGAAGGGGGAGGCGACGAGTGATGTCGATTGCTATTTTTTACACTTTTAGCACTGCAAACTGTTCCACTGGGGAGGGTGAGGCGGATCCAGGGTGGTCTCCTGAGGGGGAGGGAGAGGGATTTTTCACCTCACCTTTTTCCTCCATCACCACACCCCTCCCCTTCGAGCAGCTTCCAACCCACCCTCCACTCGCCGCACTACCCCTCCCCTCCCCTCTCCTTCGAACGTA